TGCAGATCGCTGCCACAGCGTCACGTGGTGTTCAACCCTTCGACATCCCTCTGAATGTTATTGCTTGGCTTCAGAGAGGTGGGGATGGTGGGGGTTCAGTCCTGAGGCCGCGACTTGAGAAGGCTGCATCTGCTGCATTGCCCAAGCCCCTGGAAGCCTAACGGACACAAAGGAGAAATTGTCGCTCCCCAAGGACTTTACCAATGCGCCACTTCCGCAAGCTTGATCAGGGTACTTCTCATTCATTCCCAGGCCCCTGGCGCTGCTTTCGCACAGGGTTGGCAGGCCGAATGTGGGGCTAGGCTGCGGTCCTCACAAAAATCTGCATAGCCACAATCACGCGCCCAACCAGATACCCCAGACGATAGAAAGCGCGCACACACGCTCGACACGTCACTGCCTGGTAGTAAGGCGGGGCCATCTGCTCCTTTGAAAGGTCAAGTGTGCTACCTCATCTAAACAGTGCGCAAATGAAAATGCGCAAGTTGCTGGCCTGGGGCGGATAGACCTGCTGCCCCCACCAGCCGGCTTGGTACCTTGTACGGTGGCACGCTCTGATGGGGTCTTATCAGGGTATGCCAGCGCAACGTCGTTGTGTACTTGTTGGGAACGGCTGCCGTACAGTGCCGCACAGATGCCGCAAAACAGCTAGATGGGCCTAGCACACCTTGAGGGGACTGGCGCTAGGCTAGACTTTACTTGACGCTTCTTGCGGCTTCATGGAAGACCAGACTGCTTCTCAAGCATTTCGGAGCATAGCTACTAAGCTGCAGCACACTGTAGCCCTGTTCTCCGCCCAGTGACTCAGGCATCTGCATCGGCTGCATCCCTGTTTGACAAACGTGACGACACCAACCAAGCAAACCAAACTGTCAACACTGCAAACACTTTTGCCTGCGGCGTCACCCTGGAGGCCGTAGTTCTGCATCACGCGGTCCTGCATCGCACAGCGCTTAATCAAAAACTAAGCGCCGCCACCAAGTAAGAAAAGGCATAAAGGCTACCCCCAACTGAGGTGGAGAAACCTGCAGTCAAGGCCTGTTAATCTGCGTGCCTTCCCCACACAACACCGAAGACTTCACTCTCTCCTAGATGGTTTCGATACTTTTCAGTTTGCAAAGCTGCGCAGCCAAAAAAAAATGCTGACTAGTTTTGCCGACGCAAATGGCATCAAGAATGAGAATGGCTTTGGAAGATCCAAGGTAAACCTCCATCAATTGACAGCACCCCTTGAAAGCCAGCCAAGGCTCTGCAGGCACCATGATGACAAGCTGCTGCTGCTGCTGCTGCTGCTGCTGCTGGTGCTGGTGCTGGTGCTGGTGCTGGTGCTGGTGCTGGTGCTGCTGGTGCGGTTGGTGGTGTCGCTGCTGCTGCTGCGACCACATCATCCTGAAGTATGTTTCAACCAAACGAATGGTGAACGAAAATCTGCGCTACACTCTTCTTTCATCTTCTTTCAATATTAACAGCGAGGGTGCCATGGCTTGCAAATGAGCGAAGGTCGTCTGCATGTCAGGATACTGCAATGTACTGGCGGTCAAAGGCACATCCTCTACGCCCTACGCGTTGCAAAGCAGTACCTTTGAATGCGGTTCGGACAAGCGACTGCTCATGCGTCATCTCTGGCGAAGGGACCATTCTCTCCTTATTTGCTGTCAAGCGAAGCGGACGTCGTCAGGACTTGCTTGGTTGCGATACAAATGCAACTTCAAGGTGTTGAGGCACTCGACTCGCCTGCTACATTCGTTCAGCAAAGCTTCGACGACTTTCTGCCGCAAAAGCTGTTCCTAACTACACGATCGGAAATTTCAGAATTTGAAGCTTGAGCCAAGTGTTCCCATGCGTGCAAAACTGATCGCCATGCATTCTCCAAGCTGCATACCAGCATACATTGCACTTGAAGCTCCACAAACCACAAAATTGGGGACACACCAAATCTCCGAGCCAGTCACTTCTCAGCCGCAACATTGTGGCAGGGCTTGGAAGCGGCGGCCAGTCCATGCAGGCCTTGGCCGCAGCAATGAGGCAGTTCGAAGCCACTCCCGCTTGCTCTTCGCATAGATCCATCACCTTTGAGCTGGTAGGATCTTATATTGGATTATGGATTATTATATAGGGGTTATATTAAGGTTGTGTTGGGGGATAATGGAAAAGAAAATGGAAATTATAGATTTACTTCCGTTCTTTCTTGGTGCCTGGCTAGCGTGGCGCGCACGGATTTTGCCACCGATAGGGATGGCTGCTCCCTTGCGTGATGCTTTTGCGGACTCTCAGCCAAATTTTGCATTCACAGCAACACTGCGCATACTTCGCATTGCCCAGTTCAACCAGAGTCAGTTGTTCCAGACCACCGTTAGTCATCATTAGTCAACGTGGCCAGCTGCAAATGGACTCGGGCGTGCTCAGGCCGGGGCTTCGACGAGGCCTCTTGGCTCTCCCCTGAGCGTAAGCGAAAGCGTAATAGACGTCAGCTACCACAACAGCACGGCACGCAAATGTGCCATGAACATTCATGAACCAGCGCTTGTTACTGCCCCTGTGCCCTCGCAAGGCCGTATCTCAAGTACCCTATGCCCTCTACACGATCTCCAGCCACCTTTCTGAACTACGTGATGTTGTGGTCCCAGAAAACAAGTTCACTTGCACGGTCAAGAATGCTGAAAGTTCTTTATGTCCAGCTGTGCTGCCAGTCCGCATTATGCATTTCATAGACTCTATAGACGTCCTTTGAGCATTCTGACTCAGGACTAGTACACCAGCGTCCCTGGAACTGACTGTGCCTTCTTCCAGGAGGGGATCATGCCAAGGAATCATTTGCTAGTCCTTCTAGGCTCAAATGATGCATCCATCGTGGGCTGCAGGCAAATGTTTGCTTTGCTTGCTAGTGATTATTTCCCGCCAGCTCGCTGTGCCGAACCCCTTCATCCTCCGGCCCTGCTTTCCACCCGCATTCCCCGGTCATGGACGCAAAGGTGCCAGTCCGGTCTTGGCATGTGGGAAGCTAACAGTCGGTCTAGGCGTAAAGCCCGGCTCGGGGACCATGAGGCCCTCTGCACTCGCAACGGACCTTGCCGAATGCCAGCGCAGTGCAGGTATAGCAAGTGCTGGCTAACTCACGTTGCCAATGCCAATCTGCCCATGGCTTCTATTGAGGCGAGGGCATTTCTGCGTCGCGAATCACTGCTTCTTTCACCTGCAACAGACCACGGACTTTTTTGACAGCAGAAGTGCGTATACAGAAAAGGTTGAAAAGGTGCATGCAGCTTTCATCCGTGTCTGAAGCATGTCAGCCAACAGGTCGAAAGGTACTGGGAGCGCTCGCTTCACTCCAGCCAGGTTGCAATGGGGCGGCAGTCCATGCATATGTCCAATGAATGCCATCGTCTGAATGAAAGAGGTCAAATGCCAGGATGCAGTTGCCTGGGTGTTCGAACTGCTGCAACCGGATTCTGTGGATTGCAAGCGGCTCCCGGAATGTACAGTTGACCCATCCCCCAACTTTCTGACTGCCAAAGGTAGTTTCCCAGAAAGTCTCCGGTCTGCCATCGAACACGTTCCTTGCAATATTCTGATCATTCCTCTCAGCATTGCTTGTGACGTCATCTATTTGCTCCGCCTGCACCAGAGTATCGTACTGATCATATAGTTCCATCTGGTAGATTCTTGCCTCCCATTCGGAGCCTTCCACCGAAATGCACAATCGCCAATGCATTCGGCAGCCAGGATCATGAAGGCAGGTCAGTTCCGCAGAATCGCTGATGCCAAGGTCAGACAGCGACATTTGCATGTCCTTTGTGCCAAACTGCCGCGATCCCTGACATAGTAGGATAGCCCTCGGAGGAATCTCAAACTCCTTTGCTGCACGTGAACGCAGGTGCTCAAGGCGGTCATCCGGAAGGCAACCTGTAAGTTGCTTTTGGTCCCCACTCGGGCGGAAAAGAATCACAGTAAAAACCTCTAGCGCCTCGATTCGAGCACTGAGCCTTGTGACAAGTCGATCCCGAACGGCTCGAAGGACAGAGGCATCGGGCTCAGAGTCGATTGCAGACTCCAGTCCTCTTAGGGCACAGGCTAAATCTACGGAGCTTTCATTGCTCATATCGCTGACAGGCACAAATTGCCCGTCGGATGGAAAAGGCTGAGAGGGGCGAGCGGACAGGTGATTGTCTCTCGGGCCAACCTTTGCATTGCGCAGAGTAGGCAACAAGTAGAGTAAACTCAAAGACCAAACCTTGCGATTTCCAGATCTCTCCAGTCGCAGCGTGCCTCACTGCTGCTTTCCTGCGGTCATGCACCGCTCGTGGGCAGGGCCTGGCACGGCCTACCTGAACATCCCACAAAAACCCTCTCTACTTGTCAAGCAGAGCCACCTGCAGCTGGCTACGGCAGAATGCTGCCCTGCCCCCACTGCTAAAATCCTAACAACTTGGAGCCATCCGAAGTGGCAGTCAATGCATGCGGGTTGACATGCAGCACCACCAGCTATACCAATTGCTAAAGAACGTTGTAACGTTGTACCGTTGTAGTTTGGCGACCTTGTTGGTCTCACGGCGCAAATGTGCCTTTACTACAGTCAGACCGTTTTGTGTTCGGCACAGTTTGGCGCTGCCTGATACTTTGATGGCAAAGAACTCTTGCCCTCTGCCATGATCTCCACTGTTACCGATGAATTCTGTTGTGCATGCTCTGCACTATTCGGACATGAGCTGGTCCTCAAGACCTTGCGGCCTCCTAAGCTTGGGACACGCCGGGCACTCCATCTACACCAGTTTGATTGGACTTCAGATAAGTTCCTGACTTAATCACCCGATGTAGCATGTAGCAGGAGATAGAAGGAGTGCCTCTTCGAAACATTAACGACACTGCGAACCTTGTTGTGCTTTGGATGAACAGGATTTCTGCCAGGCGCATGTTGCGTCAAAGCAAAGCAGGAGATGGTTCGAAAGACACAACCAGGCACTGGCCATCTCCTGATCAGCTGAAGCTCAAGGTGCTCAGCACTAGTCCACCTTGATGGATCCGTAGATGGTCCTGACAAGATCAGGCTTGCTGCAGCGCACTATGCCACGCCCTTTCTCACGCCTTCTTGCCTGCTACTAGACAAAACCTCTGAGCATGAACGAGTGTACGCACACTTCTCCAGCCTGACGAAGAAGAAGGATGAGATCCTGCAGCTGCTCTAACGCATGATCCTCTTTCAATGTTTTGGAGCAGGCTGAGGAGAAGAGGGAGATCATGGACATCACCAAAAATGACCTGAAGCAAGGCCCCTGAGCCGCGGACAAGCCAATCGAACCCGTCAGCAGCCCAAAGAGGAGCGACATGATGGCCATGTAGCCGAAGTATAGGAGAGTGGACACCTGCCATCGACCAGGCAAAATGGCCAGACAAATCGAATCCGACGAGCACCCTGGAGTCAGCTACAGGCGCTTCAATCAAGATTGTGCTAAAGGAATCTGATCAGAAGTTCTGAAAGCATCAGCTGACCCCAATGCGCAAGTGTGAGGTCAGGTCAAATGGCAGTCCAAACAACTCCTGCGCTGCATCTACCCACTGGCACTGTCTTTCTAGAAGGATGCTGCACATCAGTTAAACGCTGCCTTTTCTGTGATTTCTTGGTAGTCGAACATGTGCATTCTCAAAGCATGCAGGGACTGCCACTTTGTCGATCTGCAAGCGGCTGCTAAAGTACATCATCGAGTACAAGAAGACCTAGAAACACAAAGCAGGTAGCCGGCTTCTGACTTAAGAAGGGCGCGCACGGGCTCAAGGCCCGGTTTCGGATCTTCAGTTGACAATGCGAGCACTCCACTCGAATGTCATTTGGAAGACCGTTGCACTAGCTCACTAGCTATACTGCACCCATTTTGGACTTAAGCCGCCAGCGTACACAGCAGACGAACCGCTCGCCAGGAACGACCTCTGCACTTCAGCGGCAATCAATGGCATCACATCAGCTCTCGTGAGACAGCACCTCCATGGCTTCTCGCAGAAATGCAGCAGACATACATTCCTTGCATGACTTCCGCCTCCACCACCAATTGTAGTTTTCAGCTGTGAGCTGAAAGTACGTGAGCCTCAAGTCAAGGCACAGCTGCGACTGACTGGGCTGCGTGGGGGCATCCCATGTGCATCTACATCCTGGTTCGATGTAGGATCCAAGCGCGATGGAGATCTCTGCACACGTGATCAGAAGAATGACAAGAACCTCCAGTTGCAGAGCGTGCGTCTGCCAACCCTTCTGACCTATCTGCTGGCGGAAGCATTACATGAGGCAAACTCTCGCATCTGCCGGTACGAAATCTAGCCCGGCGCCAGCGCAAGGAAACCAAAGAGGTAGTAGAACTGGTGCTGCCACAGGGACGACCTTGGGCAGAGATGGGCACTGAGAGTTGGCATTCTTGTAACGTCTCGTTGTCGTTGACTCTTCCACATTGTTTCACTGTGGCTGCTTGCTTCGGGGCGATTCACATCAAGCTCTACAGAAAAACTGCCGAGCCACATGATGAAAAAGAGCTCCGTGAAGACGGCGCCAAATGGCAAGATGCCGCCAATCGCGCACCTGAGACGAAGGACGAAGGACGAAGGGCAAAGAGTGGATGAGACTTCGCAACAGCGTGTGGCGTTGAGGCCCGGGCGTGAAGAGCGGCTGCATAAACCAGGCCTGTGCCGGGATCTGCCTCCACAGCATGTCACACTGAATCACGCTGGAGCTGCGGGACACCATGGAGGTGCCAGAAGGGCTGCAATGTGTTAAAAGTGGAATGCGATCGCATCCCAAGTGAAGGTAACTTACTTTTGCAAGTAGCTCAACAACAGCTGACCACCCCGGGTCACATCAACGAATGTCTGAGGTTTTTTTTTAACGGCGGCACATTTTACTACACATGCCCACTGTTTAACTTATGCGCTTCTTGTCCTACATGCAAGACCTTGTCTTCCATCTACCCCCGCCCGAATTCCCTAGCCAAGCCCCTCTCCAGAGCACCACGTCAGCGGAAGAGGATGGAGGCTCTTGGCACCACCCTACTTCGTGCTACTGGTACGTGCATGGTGTATCGTGTGTTGCGAGCGTTCTGGGCATAGCGGCTCTCGAGGCTGCTACCGTTGTCCAGGGCACTTGGCCTTGTCTGGCCAAGCTGCCTCTGTTGTGGCCTCTGCGGTCGTCAGGAAATCCAGCGGATTGTCATGATCACCTCGAACTTACAGTAGGGGATCCTAACCAAGGCTAGAAATCATCCAGCATCATCCCCAGCCGGTTCTCAAAGACGGTGACAACCCATCTGTCATCTTGTATGGCAGGCTACAAGGCCTCAGAATGCTCTGGGCATGCTCTGGGCATGGCAGTAAGGCTGCCAGATGCTGCCAGGCCTTTCTTGCGTCCAAGAGAGGGTCCCCGTACATGAATCGTACGGAAACCAAAATGGAACGCGATGTTGTTCACTGTAATGAATTGACTGTATGCACGTGCCTGTAAGGCACTGTAAAGCCTCGCCTGGTCATGCATGTCACATCCACGTGCTCCGCAATGCTCCGCATGTTCGAGATGCTCTTTTTGTTCACAAAAGGCTTTGCATTTGAGTTCAAGGCCCGCAGCCGGCTATCAGTACGATTGTGAATAGGATATGGGCCTTGATGCCCTGTCAGCAGTGGAGAGGCGCCAGTGCAGCTGCCATGTGTTGCGCAGACCGCTGTGCTGCTGGCTTGCCACCTTGAACTCAAGTGAAACACCGGAGTTCTGCAACTACGGCTGTGAAACCTAAACTCGCACACTCACCTGAGACCGTTTTGGTGAGAAACGCTCGGGCTTGCGCAGAAGTCTGGGGAGGTGCACCCATATTTGTGCTCTCCGCAGCAAGCAGGACAGGACATGCAACTGGGACAACCAAGCGCCTAAGGCGTTCACTGCAGCTTCTTCCTAATTTCTATTATCGGATAAAGGCTTGGTGCATGTATGTGCATGTCCTATCCCGGAAGCAGACGCAGACCATTCTCGCATCTGCCAATCGGCAGGTTCCCCGCGGCGTGGCGGGGCACATGCCAGGTGGGAGGTGAAACACTTTCGCAGTAAAAGACTTAGAACTCATAGAACTGTTTGAGTCTTCGAATCTATATGAAGCCTCCTCTGCTGGATGAATGCATTCTTCGATGCTTCTCAGATGGAGATCTTCTTCCTGCAGGCACAAAAGCAGCCTCGATTCGTAAATTGCTTAACCCATCTTTGCTGCAATGTCCTTGCAAGCTCTGCCCAATACTTTTCGGGGACGCCGCTCTTCTTGAGCTCCTCGATCTTACCTGAGTCAGGCATTGCTTCTGCACATGGAAGCACTCGGGCAATATTTTTCAAGGAAGTATCGACTGCCTTTTGCAGACGGTTGATTCGGGTGACAAATCCCCTCACTCAGAAAGCACACTTGCAGGAGAGGCACGAGCTTTGATCTTTTCAAGCCTTGGTCAAGATGCAAGTTCTGGGCTGTGCGCAGCGCATCCCATCATCATGCAAAATGGTCTTAAACTGCGCTTGCGATCGCTTGTGGAGGCGAGCAGCTTCTTGCGCTCGTTGCCAATGGAAGCTCGCACGGAGTTCCCTTCTTCTAAGAAATCACGGCGCTCCTTCAAATGGTGCCGTTGGGGTCACGCGCCTCATCTTGAGCTGCATCAGCTCTTTTTCAAGTTTGCAGCACGAAGTCCTGGTACGCCTTCTCTTCACGAGCAGAGATCTGGTGGCGGAGTTCCTGCAAATGTGGTCATGACGTGCTCGCAGACCAGCAAGCGCTCCCTCTCGAGCAACATAGACATAGAGCAGGTCTGCAATGGTCTGCAAAAAGTCAGGCGGAAACACGGATCTCACATGATCTCACTACTCTCCTGCGCATGCTGCAGGCGCATCTGGTGCTCCTGAACGGGTCTTGCCAACTCCGTGGAGTTCAAGTGTTTCTGCCGCAGTTCCGACACAGAATGGCTGGGCGGTGGCCTCGCCCTGACGTTGCCTTTCGGCTTCTTCCTGCTGCATCTGCACCTCGCCATACGTGCTTCCGTGTAGCAGCAGTGAGCTTCTGTGTCAAAAAGGTTGCCCAAGTTGCACGAGTGGCATACATGAACTTGCCCTTTGAAAATCTTGGACAAAGGCACGTAAGAGTTTGTGCCTCATGCCTGACTTCATAGGTTACTGATCAGCAAGACTCGAAAGTGCCTCTATGATGCGCTCAAACTCGTCGCGCTCGAACTTTGCCTGAGCAGGAAAATAAAGCGGTCACGGCAGGCCGCTGACCGGTGCAGCGAATGCTCAGCAGGGAGTCGCAAGAAGTTTGCACAGCATCGCAGACGCGAGCCTGCTCACCCAAGCGGCGTTCCTTCTCAGCCTGCTGTTGAAGGCGCGCCTGGTTGAGACAAGCTCCAGCTGTTTAGCTACTCTGCCAGAAACAAGCCTGCTCGGGTAAAACTATCGCAGCCATCTATCAAATTCCAATAAGTCCTCTGCGACTAGTGCAGGCTGTTGAATGCCCCACAAGATAACCTGGCCTCCTTCAGGTCTGCGTTCATGCGATCCTGAACTCTGAGGGAGCTATCAGGCATCATCTTTGCGAACCTTTGCACCAAAAAGGCCTGCTTCTGCTTCTCAGCCGCTTCCTTCTGCCGCGCTGCTCGCTCTGCAGCTTCCATGGCTCCTGAAAAGGTTCCGGAAAACAATCACTTTTTTGTTTCTCCACCCTGCATACGGCGACCTTGACATGTAAGGCTAAGCTGCTGCCAAAGTTCGCTTTGCTCGGAGCGCATCCATCTCGGCTGCTTTGTCCTGCGCCTTTTCTTGCCTTGCAGAGCGACAGGTGTGGGCAGCAAACGCAACTGCAAGATTACGAAAGAAAATGGTACGTCTATAGCAAGTGCTCGGGTCGGCACATTGCCCTGAGTCTGGCAGTTTCCCTTTCCTTGCCAAGGCTGGAGCATAATGAACCACAGCATGCAAGTCAATTTGACCCGCCTTGTCAGCCGCAAGGCGTGCCTTCTCAGCCTCGAGCTCGCGCTCGCGCTGCTCCTTCGAAGGACACTTGCCACAAGTTGCCATCAGTTGCCAGTGTCGCGCTCAACGATCCGAAAGTGGAAAGGAAATCCCAACCGTCCTTGCCCTCCTGGTATTCGATGATCTTCCTGGGCAACCGATGCATCAGGAACTCACCAAGGCTGTGCTGCAATTGCCCGGTTGACAACTGATAATACCTGCAGCTCAGACTCTGCTCTTCAAGCTTTTCCGCGAGCATGCGCTCCTCAGAGTCGGAAGATGTCGGAAGGTTATTAGCATAAGATAGCATGAGGTTGTCAAGAGGGGGACAAGTCCTGCTGATCTTGTGCCGCACTACCCCAAGCAACCGTGCTATCGCTAGAGCTCTGGGGAGGCAACTTCCTTGATCTTCATGGCGGCAGAGTTGGCCTCGTTGACCTGCACCAAGTTACTCTGCACACGTGCTCGTGGCTTCAGACTAGCAAGTCCCAGAAACTTCATCAAATCACTTGCCTCCTGCATGAGACGCTCAGCCGCGAGCTTCTTCTGCTGCCTTGTGGCGGGCATGAAGTCCACTCAGGCCGCAGCTTTTTGACTTAATCATACGGCGTATGGAATCACGTTTCATACGCGACGACATGGTTTATATGCTCGTACTTACTGCCAAGCGTTCTGCTGGGAGAAAATGAGCTGGCGTTTCCACCCGACACTCCAAGTGCAGACGAGATGCTGCTGCTCTACCTCCTCGGCCTTGAGGGACTCAATCTGCTTGAGCACGAAGGATCGCTCCTTCGTCACAGCGGCATTCGAGTGCAATCTGTGGGATGGCCTGAGATGAGAAACTTGTTTCCATCAGAAACGCCTGCCTGATCGCGTGATTCCTCCTCCTTCATGCGCTGCGCTTGCCGGTCCTGGCCCACATGCTGTTTTGACTGCAAAGGTGGGATACAAGGGAAACTGTCCTTGATCTGCTCAATGATCACCTTGGCACCAGCCCGCTGCGATTGCATCCGCTCCTGCACCGCTTCACTGAGCACGTCAACCCCGAGAAATAACTTCAAAGACAGTCCTGTTCACGGACTTCGTACATCTTCAGAGCCTTGTATGCATCGGGAGGTCACGGAAACAGAGGACTCTTGCAGCTTAAGGCCTTGAGGCGCTCGATTTCCATCATAGCGTCGAGGTGCCTCTCCTGCGCATTGCATCAGCTGCACTCAGTCACATGTGACACTCATCGCAGCTATGCTTATAGAAAGGGACAACTTGGGATCGGAGCTCCTCTTCCTCCTTCTCCGCCTGCACCATGCGCCTCGGGCAAAATGGGCTTCCAACATGCTTAACCGCTATCGCACCTGGCATTAAGCCAGTTCAAGGGATTTTGTAGCGGACTCAGGATGAGTCCGCATAGGCTGCATTGATGCAGCCAGGCTGCTTCTCTTGAATCTGAGCATCGCGGATGGTGACTATCTTGGAGTAAAGCATCATCTGGTTCATATGCTTCACCTCAATATTCCACAGTCAAAAGAGCTGCAATTGTGATGGATCAAAATTCAACACGACAAATGAGAAACAACTAAGGTTCAAGTCAACAACGGCATCTTAGGCTTCACTCATACGTTTCACCGGGCTGCATCGTCCATGTCTTCGTCAAGCATCTGCCTTGGAAAGCAAAGCAGCTGTGCAGACCACAGCAGGGAGGGGTGAGATAAGCTTTAGCCCAGGTGCTTTGCACGCTCGAGCACTCCACCCTTGGCCCCTCTGGCATCCTCCAGGGCACCACGGGCACGGAACAATTCTGAATCGATAAACAGCAGCTCCTGTTCTTGACATGTTGACTTTTAAGGCAGCTATGGAACTTGAATTTGAAAAGCAATACTGCTATTAGCACGCCTTTTCTGCTGCCAGGCCTTGGCGGTTTCAGCTTGGATGGCATTCCTCTTGCGTTCCTCCTCCATCTGCCTGGCGCACACGTCTGAAACCAAATGTGATCGGAGCAGCAGACTGGCATGGCAATCTGTCAGGGTTTGGGGTTTGGGGTTTAGGGCTGTTGCCTGTTTGTTCACAATACTGTCAGTCCGCTGGGGCGCCTGATCTTTTCTTTCCTCGCTATGGACTTTGCCTGACGCTCAGCCAAGGCCTCAGACGCGCAATATGACGCGATAAAAGAAATTCACAATCCAAGTTTGCCTCCGAAGACTCTGCCCTTGAGCCCTGCACCTCCTCTTCTCTCATTTTCTGCTCCATCTCCTGCCAGCAGGACGGGGTAACTGCCGGTTTGTGTATTTGCCTCACTCTGTTTAAGTTTTACTTGCTGAATCGAGGCAGTCCTCTTCCTTGCTTAGGAGCTTTGCGTTCTCACCTGGAGGAGTTTAGTGGTATAGGGACTGGGCACAAAGCAGCCCGTGAGCAACTCAGCTTTCCAAGGTCAGAAACGATCGAAGCAGCCGAGTGACGCAGGCGATTGAGCTCAGAAGCTGCGATAACGACGGCCTGCTCCTCTGAAGCTGAGCATGGCGACTGTTCGCAGCAGAGTGGCACAGCGGAACAATTAAACCTCAGAGGCTTCGCCAAAAACCTTTCCCAGTCTGCTTAACCACCCAGTCCTTGGGATTGGCTTTCGCATTATGCCTGACATGATTGATGGTGGCATCTATCCGTACACCCACTGACAGGTGCTTGGGCACTTTCACGACTAGGTGCCAAGGGTGTGTCTGAAGACTCAGTCTGACGGGCCTATCATACCTTTTTCGAACCATGACCGTGTCCTTGCCAACAATCATGACTTCCTGCCAAAAAATCTCCAAAGTCATCACTGTGATTTTGTGCACCAAGCAACAGAAACATCCAAATCGCAACCGAAGGCCTTGCCATCAGACGGCTTGGGCATGGTCTTGTTATGCGCCTTGCCAGCGGTTAAACAACTCACTGAGGCATTTGCAGCATGGACATCTGCAGAAGTATCCCCAGACACATGACTCTTTGCAAACGCTTTGAGCTGAGAATCATTACCGAACAGCGTCTCATCGATGTCAGCATTCGTATTCAAGGTGCCTGGGTTGTCTCTTGCAAAGAGAGTGTGAGAGAGCTGCATATCCTCTTCAGCTGCAGCTTCATCGCATCCTAAGACTTCACATGTCGATCCCAGTTAGCCCGGTATTGCTGGACACGCTGCGGTATCGATTTGTTTGGCTTCTCAGGCTGCCAATTGATTGGGCAGCAGTTGAACCAGGCATCTTGTCCTTAGCTGCGTCATCAAGCCCCCATCAGGCACAATGATCGAAGGATATCCGATCACACCGCCCACGCTGCAAAGAGCTGAGGAAGCATCACCGCAAATGGCACCCACCTGGGTACATTGACCATTGCCCCTGCAAATGGCCACAAAGACACCACCCAAACTGCTCTTGCCATCAAGATAGATTAGACAAATTTCTGTCGAGTTGCTCCTTTTCTCGGCCTTGCTCTCGTCCGCCCAATGGGCAAAGAGGACTACGGCAAAGGCCCGAGCCCAGCTTCGAAGAGGCACTCAAATCACGGCTTTTGCATCTTCATCTTGTGCGACCGCTCTCTTTCCACCGCTTAGTATCATTTAGTATCTCCAGACAAACAACTGAACAGGCAAGAATCAAAGTTATCAAAAAAGCAGCTGGGCACCAGGGTGGACACCATTGATTAATCACAAGACAGCACATTACCACACAGCATGTATTCCGCACAAAGCTCCCTCCCGAGCAACTGAAGCATCCTGTGACTCTCAATCCTGAATATCCTGACAGACGAACAAACAACCACCAGCGATGCCACCACCAACAGAAATCGCCAAGTCTCTGCATACAGAGCTGGGCACAAGCCGAAAAACGCCCGATCAGGGAATCCTTCCTAAGACTTCTTGGCTTTGATTTCTAAGAGGGCGCATCAGACATGCTCTCGGATTTTTCAACAAACCCTTGCATGCGGGTCCAACATGCTCCTACTCTCTGAACAATTACTTCCCCGATGACTTGGCCTCGGCACGTGGTTCGTACGCACGGGCAGCTCAATTGCCTGCGACCGCCACGCAACATATCTCAACACTGGTGCCTCCATGTACAACATCTGTGAAGGCCGCATGTAGCAGGGATTTTGTTGGAAACTCCGATGCATGCTTTGGTCTCATGCTCTGCATCATCCGGCTGGAAGAGAAAACCCAGTGTTCTGTCAGACTGTACAGTCTGCTTTTGCTCAAATTTAAAACACGGACGTCTCCCTGTACAGTGCGTAAGCTTGAGTTGAACTGGCTCGAATCAGACGCTGTCAACCTCTCGGACAAGCTAAGCAGCGCAACATTAAGCACTTGCCGTTGCAACTCCAGCTTGCGACTGTTGCAGAGTGCCACACCTGAAGCTGAGGACTCCCGTCAGTCTTGCCATGTTGGGTCAGCCGGTGCCAGCAGGCACTAGACCCAGCAGTGGCTTGCTGTCTGGAGCAAAGTCGCTTAGTATACACAATCTCAAAATTGCCTGACCACCGCTTGCAAAATCATAGAAACAACAGACTGATCAGCACTATTGGCCGTGAAGCTGGAAGAACAGCTGAATTTGGTACTAGCAGACCTGCGCAGCATGCGAAGATCTCATGCGCCACCCAGCTCGCCATGCGAGGTGTCCGGCTTTGTAGCGACATACAATGACCAGCTCGAAGTGGACAGACGTGGTCGTGTATTCCAACCTGAGACTGGAGGGCATGGGATGTAAACCTCAAGGTGGCAGAACATAACAGGCTTTCATAAAAGCCGGGGAGCAAGGTTATGTTGGCAGATGTTTCCTGAAGGCAGTCTTCGACTTCCAGGCCCGTCCGCTTGTCAACCTCGTCCCAACCAACTCGGACACACTGCTTGGCAATGCATTCATACTTCTTCTGGAAGGTCATGATGTCTTGGACCGTCAGGACCCTTGCAGTAATCTCCTCCTCAAGCGAAATGCTGTCGCACTGCAGAGCTTCAGAGACACCTTTTGCTTTGAATGGTACACGAGCAAGTAAAGTCGGAGCTTAATGGCTGCAAAAGAACTAATTCAAAGATTGCATGGATGTTCCTGCCCTCAGATGTCCTGGAGGATAGCAGGCCCGTCCGCTTTCGAAAGTTTCAGGTGGGCACCAGCACGGACGACCGGCGTTGACAGCATGACGGGCAGGAGACGGACGCCAGAAGATTCAGCACTGAAGGTTGGAGGGGGCAGACCATCCCAAATCCAAGCAATTTGCCCTCTGCCGGAAATTCGGAAGGAGCAAGCAGCGTTGCAGAGTTGCTGGGCGATCTGCAGCGCAAAGCTTTCAAGTTCTTGGCAAGGCTTCAGTGACATGGCCATTCCACTATGGGAGGGTTAGTGTGAGGGCATGTTGAGGGTTTCAGTCCCTGCCTTTAGGGCCACCTCAACATCCCTTTGCACCTTGGGGCCCCATGCTCTGCCCTCGTCCTCCAAGCCGACCAGCCGCCTCTCAACTTGTGAAGATTTACTACGTTAGCTCCACACGCTGTAGCCTATGCAGGCAGGCGACAAGAGTGAACTGGGAGAGACTGCAACTGCTGTTATCAGGCTTCCATCCGGCACATCGTCAATGTTTGCAAGAACACGGCCATCAGCAGTAAAGAACCTCAGACATTACAGCAAATGTTTTTGGAATTCACACTGGAAGCCTCCAAGCAAGGTAATACACGTTGAGAGGGTGTCCAACCCTTCACCTGATGGACCTTTAGCTTGGATGGTCTTGCACATAAGTGCAAGTATGCTGTTTTCTGAAACTCTCTGCTGAGTGAGTGCGAGAGGCTCACATGTGTTGGAACGCATCCTGGCAGCTACCAGCTCTTTGAGTTCTGTGACTGACGAGACTTCCAGCTCATCCAGCAGCGTCTCCCCACTCATTCCGACGACTGTAAGCGCGCGTCTCAGAAGATCTCCATTTGATCGACTAGCCATGCGTACAGTAACCATTGGGCCAAGAACACTGGTCTACTGCTAATCTGCACAAGTAGCTGCAGGAAAAGGAAGCATATCACGTTCACAACCTGAAGCAGAAGCTTCTGCACTAGCAGTACGCACAGGAAAAGCTACATCCAAATGTCTTTCATCCTTGCTGTGCATCTCCGATAGGTCCACCTACTTAACCCCTTGCGAGCATTGCAAGCAGCAAGAGCATCCAGCCTCTCGCCGAAAACCAAAATAGGAGCCCAAGAAAACCAGCGGTACCTCTCGTGTTATTCAAGGCCAGCGACCAGTTGCCAACCAGTGAGCACACAACCCACACCAGCAAAAGCATTGGCGCTAATACTTATACTTCGCTTGCCGTACTATTGCAATGCTCCCGCATGGCTTTGATGTTTCAAGTTTCAAAGTGCCAGCCACAGAGCAGGCTGGTAAAGGTGTCGCCTAAGCCCCCCAAACCCTAAACACTAAAAACACCCTAATCCCAAAACACCCTAAACCCTAAACATCCTAAACAT